GGTGTAAAATGTCATTGAATATACAAAACACTTTACCGGCTACCCCGACCTTCCCCCACCACTCAACTCAGCGAACCTTGTTAATTGTCACACTTTTATGTGTTAAACTTAAATACCACACCGCCACCTGACATCACCCCACTTAATGTCACTGCAATCTATCCTGGAAATACAACGGAAAACTTGTCACCTCAATTTTCCCGAAGGAGCAATGGAGGCAGGCAGCTGTCACATTTCAATGTTGAAAAGCATGGTGAAGAAAAAAAAATAACTGGAATTTGAAGTCATAGTAAAAAGCAACACGAACAGGAATACCAACAACAAAACAATTTTCATAAAACATCATCGCAAATGGAAAACTTTCAATGTTCTTTGCATACATCTTCTGGCTCAGGTGAAAAGGTGTGGTGTGGTTTTTAAGCTCCCACGGGATACTTAAAATTAATTCATTTTCAAAGGAAATGAAAATGCAAAGAAGGAAGGAACAGCGAACGTTCATGCACACACACCTCAACTTATCCATGTTGCATGGAACCGCAACATTGGCATTTCCACTTCAAATGAGGATTATTTGTATTCCACCATGGGCGGGCGGCATTATGCCAAAGTAGAACACCTACAAAAATTCTATACGAAATAATAACAAGCCCAACAACGTCAATAATGGAATTATATCCTTAAACCTAATGATTATAAACAACAGGCCATGAAATTACCAAACATGTAAGCTGAGGGAGTGTTTCCGAGGCGTTGCACACACAATTACAATTGTTTTTTATTTCCATGGAATACCTTGGGTGTAAATGTTTGAAAACATTCGAAATAATTTGTTGAAATTTCTGTGAAAGGAAACATATGATGAATAATTTGTGTGGGCATATGGGTCAAACTGTAGAGAGGGTGATAAGTAAGGATGGGGGGAAAAGTTAAATAATCATTATCAAATATAAACGATAATAGATTATGGGCAGTGCTATGCTTCAAACCAGGAATTCCTAAAACTTCACGGGCGCAGTTTTTTAAACAAGAACTTCAAGGACTTTAGGCGTAGCTTTTTTAAAAAAGAAATTCAAGGACTTTAGGCGTAGTTTTTTAAAGAAGAAATTCAAGGACTTTAGGCGAAGTTTTTTAAACAAGAACTTAAAGGACTTTAGGCGTAGTTTTTTTAAAGAAGAAATTCAAGGACTTTTGGCGTACCTTTTTTATAAGGCGTAGGCGTAGTTTTTTTAAAAAGAAATTCAAGGACTTTAGGCGTAGTTTTTTAAGAAGAAATTGAAGGACTTTAGGCGTAGTTGTTTAAGAAGAAATTCAAGGACTTAGGCGTAGTTTTTTAAAGAAGAAATTCAAGGACTTAGGCGTAGGGTTTTAAAAGAAATTCAAGGACTTTAGGCGTAGTTTTTTAAAGAAGAAATTCAAGGACTTTAGGCGTAGTTTTTTAAAGAAGAAATTCAAGGACTTTAGGCGTAGTTTTTTAAAGAAGAAATTCAAGGACTTTAGGCGTAGTTTTTTAAAGAAGAAATTCAAGGACTTTAGGCGTAGTTTTTTAAAGAAGAAATTCAAGGACTTTAGGCGTAGTTTTTTAAAGAAGAAATTCAAGGACTTAGGCGTAGGGTTTTAAAAGAAATTCAAGGACTTTAGGTGTAGTTTTTTGTAACAGAACGGTTGCTCCATAAGCCAAGTTAAAAAAGATTTCCAGGGGCTTTTACGCATCTTTTCCAGTTTAAAAGGCCATGTTCGGCAATGTTATCTTCCACTTGATCTTTCCATCTAATTCGAGGCCTTCCCCTTCTGCGTAAATCATCATTTGGTTCGCTTTTATATGCTTTTTGAGCTTGGGCATCTTCATCCATTCTCACAACAAGGCGTAGCCAACGTAGTCGCTGCAGTTCGATACGCTCAGTAGATCTTTTGGAGAATTTTTCTCTCTAACACTACAACAACTGCCTCATCTGCTTGCATAAGTACCCATGCTTCAGATCCATATAAAAACACGGGTATTATCAGCGTTTTGTAGAGTGTTAGTTTGGTCTGCTCAGTTGCAGTAGCATCTGTTGGCCAACACTATCCTTCTCCGAATTTCAAAACTGATGCCATTAATTTTATTTATGGCGGTACAAAGGCATATAAAATCTTTGACTACCTCGAAGCTGTTGGTCCGAGTCTACGGGACGTATTGCGCGTTGACACCATCAGCTTTAACTTCCCGTTTACTGTCAGACCCACTTTGGCAGACTCCTTCTCAAGTTATTCAAAGGTGACAGTTACCGCTCACAATGTTTGATGTTCATCACACAACAAACGATCACCTTGTCTGAATCCATGTTTGGTATTGCAGGGCTCCGAGAGGTCCTTTCCGACTACAACTGCTGATCTTGTGCCTCTAAAAGTTACCCTGCATAGCCGTATTAATTTTGCAGAAATGCCGACATGGCTTCATAGTTATTTGAACGGAAATGCCGACATGGCTTCATAGTTATTTGAACGGATAGGGCTGTCGAATGCGCATTTATAGTCGACGAATAGGTGTAATGTGTCGATGTGTTTTTTTTCCTGGGTCTTTTCCAGAATTAGGCGCAGAGTGAAAATGTGATCAATGCGGGATTTGACAGGTCTGAAGCCGCATTGGTATGGTCCAATAATGCCATTGACCATTGGCTTCAGTCGTCCACACAATACGCTAGATATCACCCTATATGCGATGGGAAGGAAACTCCTTTTTTATGCACGGAACCTCAAATCATTGGAACCTAGCCAAATTGTACTAATCAGCTGGTGCATGCCCCTTACAAGCATATTCAGTCGATTGATTGCTATTCTGACCTCATCTTAGCTAGGTGGTATACACTCTATACCGTCATGCGTTATTGGTTCTGGGACACCTTCACCGCTACTATTTGATACCAAAAGCTTTTCAAAATTCTAGTTCCAGATCCTTAACACGCTATTAGTATCTGTCACCAGGTTTCTATACTATTATCGGGACAAGGGGTGCTTTTGTCAAGTTGAGCGGAGTAGACTTCTGTTACCTGTTGTGTTTGCAGCTTTTCGACGCCGAGTTTCGGTGTGTTAGACCGACCCTATAAAGTATATATATTATTGATCAGCGTAAAATTCTATGACGATCTAAGAATGTCCGTGTGTCTGTTGTAATCACTCTAGCGTCTAAACGAATTGAGATAGAACGCTAAAATTTTGCACAGAGTCGTCTTTTGTTTGCAGGCAGGTCAAGTTCGATGATGGGCTATATCGGTCCACGTTTAGGCATAGCTCCCACATAAGGGTACCCCCCAATTTTCGGTATTTTAGGGTTCTTGAGCGCGGATTTCAACCGAATTCGCTGAAATATGGTACAGTGAGTTCTTATTGGGTAGCACATCTCTCCACAAAAACTTATAAATATAGGTCAATTTTTTCGGGTAGTCCCCATATAAGGGTACCCCCAATTTTGGGTATTTAAGGGTTCTTGAGCGAGGTTTTCAACCGAATTCACTGAAATTTGGTACCTTGGGTTCTTATTGGGTACAAAATTGTCCCACTAAAAATTATAAATATAGGTCCACTTTTTCTGGTAGCCCCCATATAAGGGTACCTCCCAATTTCCAGTTTTTGGGGGGTTTTGACCGGATTTTTTCACCGAATTGGCTGTAATTTAGTAATTTGAGTTCTTATTGGGTAGCAAATCTCTCCACAAAAACTTATAAATATAGGTAAATTTTTTCGGGTAGCCACCATATAAGGGTACCCCCAATTTTCGACATTTTGAGGTTCTTGAGCGCGTTTTTCAACCGAATTCGCTGAAAATTGGTATTTTGTAGTCGTATATGTTAGCAAATCTCCCCACCAAAAATAAATCATATTCACCCCTTTTTAGGGGTAGTACCCATATAACCCCCTTTTTTATATTAAAATAGTTAACAGATTTGTTTCGTGTATTGTGGTTGGGTAGTCGTTACGGGAAATAGTAAATTTTTACCCTACAAATACGTTTTAGCTATCTGTTGTAAGCTTTCCACCTTCTAAAGATATTGTGATAAAAAACTCAAACATGACAATAAAGAAATATATCGGCAGACATTTAGGCATCTCCACAATATATATGAAGGAAAGAATTGATATAAACAATTAATATAGTGGGTTCAAAATTGGCATATACATAGCCCTCATATAATCATATCTCCAAATATTCACTACTTACTACACTATGTAATCAATATTGGTCCCCCTTTAGGCATAGCCTCATACAACGGATTTCAAATAATCGTATATTAAATTCAAAAAATTAGCAAACTTCCCGAGACCAACAAAAATGTCACTGAAGTACTGACGCATGGGTTGCGTATGATTGTTACAGACCTGTTGTATGCCTATCATACGCAATCATACCAGAATCACTACTAATTTTACAAATTGTACAAGTGTTGCAAAATCTATATGTTGCAAAATCTATAAATCCAGATACGTATAACCAAGACCAATTCTACAATTTTATTTTTATAACACTACCTCATAATTCTCAATATTCTTGTGTTCTACTTGCCCAACAAATTTTACTTCGAGACTTTTTTTCAAACCTCCTCCCCAAAACACATTGGTAAAAATACAATCATAATTGGATTTTAATAAGTTGTAATGGATGGACAATGTGAACGGCAAGTACAGCAGAACGTAAAAAAAAGACCTTAAGACCAAATCAAAATAATCACGTCAAGCTAATGCAAAACCAAAAAAACCAGCAACCAGATTTTAAATGAATAATTTATGGGCATAGCTTTTTTATTTTCCCCACTCTGCTCTATTGCTCTCTTCTCTGCTGAATAATCTGAATAAATATTAATGGATGGATGGTAGCCGGGCATGATGACCCAGCTTAGGCTCGATTATTTTAACATTATTTATTTAAAAATAAATAAATGCACAAAAAACGAAACCTCACTCAAAAAATAAATCTTTTTTCTAGCATATAAGCTTATTCAATTTGTTTCTCACAAATTTCTTTTCAGGTTATTTTGGTGCTGAAGGCCTTCAACCTTTATGGGACGTCGCATGCAACCGTAATCATACAGATTATCGCACATGTCTTGGCCTATACAAATTCATGTATTAACCCCATACTGTATGCCTTTTTGTCGGACAATTTCCGAAAGGCTTTTAGAAAGGTATGCAAAACAGCCAACAAAAACAAACACCCACATACATTTAAACCCATACAAATACACACATAGTCGAACACAACCAAAGGGGATTTGTTTGTTTTGCTAATGGCAAACATATACATACATACATATTTAATTTCATGAAGCAAAATTTTAAAGATTTAAAAAATATTCACTTTAATGTGTTTTCCACTTTTTTCTTCTCCCATTATCCCTCCTTTTCTTCGTCACAGATTGTTTGGTGCGGCAGTCCACCACCCATTGTTACAAATCAGCAAATAACAAAAACAACGCGCACAGCAACCGGAAATGGTACTTCCAACATCGATATGCTGTAGATGCAGACAACAACACCACCACCAACAACATTTGACCATAGTTGTAGTCTGTAGTTTATCATCATCGTCGTTGTTGTTGTTATTCTTATTGCAAAGCAAGTACAACAACCACAATATATTTTTGCAAATAGCTATAACCCTACTAGTTGTAGCAGTGAAAACAAACGGAACAAGTTACTTAGGTATGTATGAGCATTTGGTATTTATATATTGGGGAGGAATGAATAAAATAATATGTTAAATATAAGCAAGTAGAAAGGTCTTTAAATTCGGTCGGACGGAAACTTGGTGAGAATGTAGAAATATTTGCTACCCATTGAGAATCCATAATACTAAATTACAGAAAATGTGGTTGAAGTCAAAATACCGAAACTTTGGAGGTTGTATTGACAAAACATACTCCGATCTAGTCCATATTCGGCCCACTAATTAGCACAAGTATAGGCTGCATTTGTGGAAAATTTCAGCTAGATATCTCAATTGGTTTGGAAGTTTTTAATTTGGGACCGCTAATTCAACGATTTCGACCACTGTGCGAGGTGGCTGCAACCATTTTTCCACGGACGGTGTGGAATCATGCTTAGATTTAACCTCCATTTTCGTTATTTTAAGTTTAAATTTCACATTTCGGTTTGTCATAAAAAAACACATCTATAGATAACAATTTTAAAATAGTTTTTTGAAGGTCCTATCCTCATTTACGACTAATATGGCTGTGATTTTGGATTTTGGGTCTCAGTACAGTACAGGTCTGTGATAACATAAGCCCCACATAACCTACGAATTTGTATACCCTACACAACTATGTTGTCAGGGTATTATAGCTTTGTGCAGCCCCAAAAGTTTGTAACGCCGCGAAATATTGGTCCTAGACCCACCTTTAAGTATACCGATAGTCATATCTCGACTAGCTGAGCCGATCTAGACATGTGTGTCCGTCCATTAGAATTTGTAAACACAATACAAACCACAGTTATGGACCAATCTTCACGAAATTTTGCATGTAGGATGGGTTCTGCCCAATGAAGACCCCTATTGTTTTTGGAAAAGATCGGTTAATATTTAGGGGATGAAATGGACCAAAAACTTTATTTTTGTCGGCTTTTGTCTCCAAAGGAGTGGAGTGGTTGACCTTTAAATTGATACCAATTATATTGTCGTATGTACTTGGATGCGGGAGTTACACATAAATATTTACAATTGCTTACGTATTGATATAGTATTCAGTAACCCATTACCACACTAGAGGGCAGAAATATAGCGCTGATCGCTTTTAAATTTTCCATGAGGATCCAGGTATGGTCAACTACAATGGCTATAATTTTCGGCAATGATCAGATACTAATTTTGGGATGAATTAGACCGAAACTTAAATTTTTGGTGTTTTTTTTTGAGTCGATCTATACGCCACAATTGAAAGCCGAACATCACAACCCAACCCACCGTGAAAGAAATCTGTACTCAATATTAGTAAAATTTGTTGACCTATAGTCGGTCAAGAGGGTGCAAATATCGCGAAATATTGCCATGATTAGAATATAGAACCCCAGAATATTAGATTTTCGTGGAAGTTGAAATCTCCTGGCAGAAAAGTTTCAATGCTTGTTCTTGTGTGGAATATAGGTTCCGTCATTATACCCTAAACAACTATGTAGAGAGTTTGTGTGGTCCTAAAAGTTTTTAACACCATATTGGTTCTACTAACAGAAACTATCACACTATGTGTGTCCTTCAGTTCATTATAACTTGTGCAGACCGCAATTGCGGAAGATTGGCGACCATTTTGGCCAATGCTGACACCAAAGATTTTTCGATGTATGATCCGAATTGGCTGAAATTTAGAACAGTTCATCTTTTGACCCAAGGACGAACCCTACTGAAATTGGAAAATATCGATTAAGATTTAGATATAGCTTCCATATACATATATTTTCGTCCGATTTTTGTAAATTGTGCTCTAAAGACCTAAAGTTTGTCCGATTGGCACAAATTTTGTACAATGTACTTAAATTAATAGAAATTAATCTCTGGCAAGATATAGCTCCCACATATATATTTTCGTCCGATTTCAGGTAAATGGTGTACCAAACTTCTAATGACGTTTTGCGTTTTTATTGATGCAAAGAAATTCATTATAACACCTTTGTGCACCCCAAGTGTTTGTAACGCCGTCAAATATCGGTCCTATACCCACCTTTAAGAATACCTATCGTCATATCTCGACTAGCTGTGTGGATCTAGACATGTGTGTCCGTACGCCGTCCGTCAATCTGTCCATTATTTGTTGTAAACACGATACAGGCCACAGTTATGGACCAACCTTCACGAGGACGCAATTATGGCCCTAACTTCGCAAATGTGTACATGAAGAAGGGGATCGGGCCAAAGAAAAAGCATGCCTGTTTTGATATAGATCGGACAATATTTAGCGCGTCAAATGGACCCTGACTTTTTTTGTGAAAAATTACAAAATTTGTATTCTGTAGCGTATATATTTAATCCTGGAGGACATTGACCCGAAAGGTTGATAGTATGTCCAATTATATTGTCGTATGTAATCAGATGCAGGAGTTACACTGCAATATTTACAAGTGCTTACGTATTCATATATTATTTAGTAACCCATTACCACACTAAAGGGCGAAATATAGCGCTGATCGCTTCGAAATTTTCCATAAAGATCCAGGTATGATCAAGGACAACGCCTTAATTTTTTGTGTTTTTTCGAGTCGATCTATAGGCCACAATTGAAAGCCGAACATCACAAGTAATTAGAAGGGCTTTACTGAATATTATTAATATTCTGAAAATATGTCAGTGTAAAGAACAGGTGCTGTTGACCTCTAGTCGGTCAAAAGGGTGCAAATATCGCGAAATATTGCCCAAGCTGAAAATATAGAAGAAAGTTAGATTTTCATGGAAGTTGTATAGGGTATCATATGGTCGGCCCCGTCCGACTATACTGCTCCGCTGGACTATAATGGTTTTATTTTAACTATAGGACTTTACTTAACAAATATGCACCGTTCTGTTGTCATTTTAAAGGTAACTTCACAGAGCCTCTCTCATAGAAGTCCTGCACTCTATTTGCAACAAAAAAACCTTTAGTAGTCGATTTTCACAATCTTCCTAGATACCATTTTTTATCATTAAAGAAAATTTGCAATGCAACAAAAAATCAAAATCGCTTGGTGCCAAGGCCGGACTGTATTTCCCAACCAAGCTCCCGAAGTTTCTGGCGAGTCACTGAAGATGTGTGTGGGCTAGCGTTGTCCTGGAATATGACACAAATGAATGCACCTAACAAAAAAAAAATATTTTTTTACTGCAAAATGTCACCCTTCCTACGAAATTGTTTCATCGATACTTTACGACACTTTATCTCCCCTACAAAGTAACCAAAACTACATTTACACTTCAAACTAAGGTAATGACATTTCAAATCAAGTTAATGAAGTATCCGATATCAATTAAAATTACATTTAGTTCGAATATGGGGCCTTTGGACCACCCCTTTAAACTAATCATCGAACTGTCCTTTTCAATGTATTCAGTAAGCTCATGTACAATAACGAATAATGTCTGCCAATTTTGAAAATGACTACCAAATGTCTTCGTTTACCGAAGAGCGTCATATCTTATCAAGTCTATATTGGAAACTTTTTAGGTTCAATCAACCAGTTAATCCACACATATTCTACCGAAATGTCAAAAATTTGTATTGTATAGTTTCCAGTATCAACAATCCGGTATTGACAATAATTTCTAAATCTGAGTGGGCAAGAATCGGTCTTGGTAAAAATTGTCGGAAATTTGTTTTCATCTTATCAGTCACTTTTGTTTGAGCCAGAATTGGTTGTTTAAATTAAACATTTCCATTGGTTGAAGTTTCTCCCATTGTAAAGTTCAGTCATGTCGAAAATAACTCTATTGGCTTGTATCTTTTAAATGATAAAATTCCTCCCCTTTATAGCCTTACTTTAAGTTTTGTGATTTAAAATAACAATAATTTTAATAATTTTTACAATATTAAAGTGTCCGGTCTTTAAACGTATTCCCATAAATTTTAATATAACATAAATTTTCCAATCTTATAAAACTGTGCCCTGTGTACAACATGTGTAAATTGTTGTTAATTAATTTAATTGAATTTGGCTACTTTCAGTAATTAAAAGTGAACAACAAAAGACTTGAATGTTTGCGTGTGTGTCTGTGTGAATGGCTGGCTGTGTGCGTACAAAGTCAGTACAGAATGGTGGAAGGAAGTCAAGCACAACAAGAAAAAAACACCAAACACCACCAGCCGAAGCTGCAGTACGACCACCTACTACCAAACATCCCTCCAAAGAGCAACACCCTTCATTATCAACAACAACAACAATAACAACTGGAACAACAACTAGAACAATAGCAAATGAACTATCGCGGCCATAAACATTCAACAGCAAACAAATTAGTCTCTGAAGCCCGCAAAGGGCTCCACAAAAATGTAAGTGTGTGTGTTTGAGCAAGTCATGCAGACAGCAACGGCAACAGAATGGCATAACTCACTCTATTCATGGATGATAGGAAATTTCAACAGACCACTATTGTTAACTGTTGCTCGTTGTCTCCCTCCTTATCTCCCTCGTCCCCTCTCTAACTACATAACTAACAATGTTTGACTGAACTAACTTTTTTTTTGGTTGCCGAACATTGCCGAACCCATAAAACTACTAAACAAACTAATTAACAAAAACTTTAATGAAGCCAACCACCGCCCCTCCATTTTCCACCCAAAATAAAACACTAACACCAACAAAAACCAAGTAGTGTGTGTGTATGTGGCAGGCATTGTTGTTTGTTATACTACCCACCAATTGATCAACGTCATTTTCATTATTTTGAACAAATTAACTAATAAATTCACAATGTTTATTTTGGCATTCGGTAAACAAAACACAAAATTGGATCCATCGACTTGGTAGTGTTGAATATAATTATTCCGCTTTAATGGTTTGTTAAGTTTGGGGAAT